GCGGGAGCCGGTCTGTATGTGGGATCCGAACCCTCGGGCGGGAGCGCCGCCGCGCTTCCCAAGCGGCGCACTATCCAGTGCGCCACCGGGCCGGCCCAAAAATAAATTAATTTTTAAAAAAAGAAAGAAAGAAAGAAAAGGGCCGGCCCGTGGCTCACTCGGGAGAGTGCGGTGCTGATAACACCAAGGCCACGGGTTCGGATCCCATATAGGGATGACCGATTAGCTCACTGGGTGAGCGTGGTGCTGACAACACCAAGTCAAGGGGTAAGATCCCCTTACCGGTCATCTTTTTTTAAATAAATAAATAAATAATAAAAAAATTTTAAAAAGAAAGAAAGAAAGATACAGCAATCACAATAATACGTTGAACTTTCAAAAGGAGAGAACAGAACTGAGGTTACCAGAGGTGGGAAAGATGGAGGAGGCGGGGGGGTTAAGGTAATTGGTAAAGAGCCACAAAAAATGATGACATCGTATAACGTCGAATATACTAATTACCCTGATTTGAGCATCACTTATTGCACACAAGTCATTAATGATATTCAGCTCTGTACCTCACACATATGTACAATCAACTATGTTGCAATTTTTAAAAAAAGGCCAGCCAATGAGAGCACTACAGTTCCTTGGGCCTCAGTGATTGGTTCAGGGATGGACATGTGACCTACTCCAGGCCAATGGGAACTTACTGCAGGATTTACACCACCAGGAGGAGGAGCCTGCCTGAGAATAAAGCCAGAACCCAAAAAAGGGAAAAATGGCAAAAAGCAGAACCCAGAGTAGGAAAAAATCAGATTCCCAATGGCAATATTTTGGCACCTGGATCCAGCCATCCCTGAATCCAACAAAATTATACCCTAGACTTGTATTCCCAAGTGCCAATATTTTTTTGTCTAAAGCTAGTTTGAGCTAGGTTTTCTGTTGCAATCCAAAACAGACCTGACCGATTCCAATAACAGCAACAGCTGTCACTTACTGAAGAAGGTCTTTGGCAAGGCTGTACCTCACAACATCTAACCTCACCCCATTTCAGCCTTGTGTGGCTGGTGGATGCGGGATATGAACCTCGGTCTCTGTGATCCTGGAAACTGCATGTGAAACCACTACCATTTTTTGCGTATTAGCAGGTGTGGAAAACAGACCTCTCCCCTGCCTCCCTTGCTCCCCACCCACAGATGGGCTGCTAAAAAAATAGACCTACTAAGATCCTGGCACATAGTAGGTATTCAAAAAATCCTCTTTATAATTCTTTAAAAACAGCTACTAGTTCATGTGGACCTTGTCTGGATCCTGATTCTACAAACCAACTGTAAAAAGACATTTTTGAGACATTTCAGTGGATATTAAATGGTATTAAAACATTCTAAAATTTCTGTTAGATGTGATAATGGCCTTGTATTTCTGTTTTAAAAATTCATCTATCAGAAGGCCGGCCCATGGCTCACTCAGGAGAGTGTGGTGCTGATAACACCAAGGCCACGGGTTCAGATCCCTATGTAGGGATTGGGCCAGTTAGCTCACTTGGGAGAGCGACAACACCAAGCCAACGGTTAAGGTCCCCTTACTGGTCATCTTTTAAAAAAAACCTTAATTGGGCCGGCCCGTGGCTCACTCAGGAGAGTGTGGTGCTGATAACACCAAGGCCATGGGTTCAGATCCCTATGTAGGGATTGGGCCAGTTAGCTCACTTGGGAGAGCGACAACACCAAGCCAACGGTTAAGGTCCCCTTACTGGTCATCTTTTAAAAAAAACCTTAATTGGGCCGGCCCGTGGCTCACTCAGGAGAGTGTGGTGCTGATAACACCAAGGCCATGGGTTCAGATCCCTATGTAGGGATTGGGCCAGTTAGCTCACTTGGGAGAGCGACAACACCAAGCCAACGGTTAAGGTCCCCTTACTGGTCATCTTTTAAAAAAAACCTTAAATAAAAATTCATCTATTAGAGATGTGGATGGAAGTATTTACAGGTGAAATAACATGAGGTCCTGAATACACTTTAAAATACTACAGGAGAGGGTTGGCCGGTTAGCTCACTTGGTTTAGAGTGTGGTGCTGGTAACGCTAAGGTCAAGAGTTCAGACCCCTATAACCAGCTAGCCACCAAAAATAAAATAATAAAATAAAATACTGCCGTGCAAAAAGGAAGTGGGGAGAAAAACAGATGAAACAAGACAAGAGAAAGTTGATCATAGTTGATACGGGTGGCAGGTACTTCAAGTTCACCACACTATTCTCTCAACTCGTGTGTACGCCTAAAATTTTCCACCAAAATAGTTTGAAAAAAATCATAGCCTCCATTTATAGAAAATTCTAGAAGATGCAAACCAACCCGTGGTGACAGGAAGCAGATCAACAGTGGCCTAAGATGGAGTAGAGTTTGGGAAAACGTATAAAAGTTCTGGAGGAAATTTATGGAGGCGATGGGTATGTTCATTACCTTGATTTTGGTGATGGTTTCCCAGGTGTATATGTCAAAACTAATCAACTTGTACACTTTAAACATGGATTGTTTCTTATACACCACTTATATCTTGATAAAGTTAAAAACAAATGTAAAATATAGATGGTATATGCAACAGACAAAATGCTAAACCGGCAGCAGCTTGCAAATTTGTATATAGTAAGTGCCTCTAAAAACCCAGTACTGGTGGCAGATTATTGTGCATGTGCTCTAATACCTTCGAACACCATTACCTAGAGCTTTCTACCAGAATGGATTCCATGTTCTATATCTGCAATCCAATCCAGTACGCTAGCTGTAGTGGATTGAATTATGTCTCCCAAAACTCATTGAAGATTGAATTGTGTCCCCCAAGTTTTATGTATTAGAAACTTAGCCCCACCACCATGACTGTTAAGAGGGTGGGAAATCCTATTATGGTGATTGAAAGGTGGAATGTTGAAGAGGTGATTGGATTGTAGGATCATGCAGAAGTGAATGGATTAAAAATGGTGGTCAGGGGCATGGTTCTGAGGGCTTTAAAAGAAGAGGAGAGTTTGTCTTACTCTCTCTCTGCTTCCACAATCTTGCAATGTGAGATCCCTGGGTCACTGTCACCACCACCAGATGGACTTTGGACTTCCCAGCCTTAGAAACTGTAAGCAATAAATTTCATTTTTCTTTATAATTACCCAGTTCCATGTATTTTGTTATAAGCAACACAAAATGGACTAATAACACTAGCCACACGTGGCTATCGAGCCCTTGAAATGTGGCTAGTGGAACTAAAAAAACTGAATTTTTAATGTATTTAATTTTAATTAATTTAATTTTAAATTTACAGGCCTTATGCTGTCATTGAAGAGCACAGCTTTACAACTAAAAGCTAAAAAAAAATTTTTTTTGAACTCTTTTGAAAAACAAATGTATAGTTGACTTACACTGTGCCCTACTCTGAGCTGTGTTCTATGTATTACCTGATATAAGTCTCATGGAATGATCTCAACAATCCCATTTTATAGATGAGGAAACTGAGGCTCAGGAAATAGTGTAGGTAACTTGTCATGATTTTAACTGTGAGGACTGGCTGAGCTAGGAAAGGAACCAAGACGTGCTCTGCCCTGGCCTCCTCCCCACCCGCCCACCCCTCCCTCCTGCCCCCTCCACAGCCCCTCACTCACCTCCAGCTCCTCACTTCCAGCTCTGCCGGTTGCCACTACCTTTTCTTGATCTCCTCATTGATAATGCTCACAATTTTCTGCAGCCTGGCCTCATCCACAAAGCCATCGCCTTTCTGGGCACAGAAGGGAAAGAGCACAGGCATGTCTCCTACCCACCAGGACCCAGTACCCACCTCCCTCCCTGTCCAGGATCCTTGCTCAGAATCACCTTCTTGGAATGGACCAGTTTCCCATCCACAAACACTTCAAACTCCCCGGTAGCCTGGTCAGCTCGGTTCTCCTCCTGGGGAGGGAACGTCAGGGGTTGGGGAAGTCTGAGAGCTCCCCTCCGAGCCCCTTGGGGTCTTCAGAGCCCTGACCACCCCCCATTCCCCCAGGTCACCAGCACACTTACAAAGAGCAGGTGATTTGGAAATTGCTGCTCCAGACTCTTTTTCAGTAGAATGTACTGAGGGGAGGAGATGGGATCATGAGATCACAGGGTCATAGGAGAGGGGAAACAGGAACTCTTCCCAGTCTTCGTGCCCCACACTGCCTCCACCTCCAAAGCCAAAATGACTCACCCGAAGGCCATAGCTTCAGAGGCCACTGGATGCCACAGGCACAGGGCAGCAGGAGGGAGGCAGAGAGACACAAAGGATGACACTGCATCAGTATCCTCCCAAGCCCAGAGGGACCCCGTGAACACCTCAATCATATCATGTCCCTCCAATGCTCAGAACCCTCCAGTAGCACCATCTTACTCATGGTAAAAAGCCACAGTCCTCCCCATAGCCCACAAGCCACCACATGTTCTGCCCCATCGCCTCTCTGTCCCCATCTCCTCCCACTCTCCCCCCACCTCGTTCACCTGCTCTAGCCACAGAGACCACCTAGCTCCTCTTTCAACATCCAGGCACGCCCTGCCTCAGGGCCTTTGCACTGGTGGTTCCCTCTGCAGAATGCTCTTCCCCCACATGGCTCCTTCTCTCCCCTCCTCCAGGTCTCTGCTCTTATATCACCTCAGTGAGGCCTTCCTGACCACCACAGCTAAAGCTGTGACCCCACAAGACATCTTTTGTCCATAGCGCTGATCACCTGCTCATATACGAGATCCTTTACTATGTGTTGTATTTACTGTTTATTGCCTGCCCCTCCGCACCAGCATGTCAGCCACACAAGGTCAGTGGTCTCTGTGTTGTTCACTGCTGTGGCCCTGATGCCAAGAACAGGGCCTGGCACATGGTAGGTGCTTAAGAAATAGGTGTTGAATGAATGAATTCATGGATCCTTGGAGTCAGGAAAAGAGATAGAAAAGGAGATGGGGAGAGAAAAAGAGAGAGGGGAGAAGAGGGAACCGTGAGAGGGAGAAGGAGAAAGAGACACACAACACAGGGAAAGGAAAAGAGACAGAGTGAGCTGGGGAGAGAGAGCCGGAGCAGGAGAGAAGGCCTGGGCAGAGCTGGGGAGAGAGAGCCGGAGCAGGAGAGGAGCAGGAAAGATGGCCTGGGCAGAGCTGGGGAGAGAGAGCCGGAGCAGGAGAGGAGCAGGAGAGACGGCCTGGGCAGAGCTGGGGAGAGAGAGCCAGAGCAGGAGAGAAGGCCTGGGCAGAGCTGGGGAGAGAGAGCCGGAGCAGGAGAGAAGGCCTGGGCAGAGCTGGGGAGAGAGAGCCGGAGCAGGAGAGAAGGCCTGGGCAGAGCTGGGGGGAGAGAGCCGGAGCAGGAGAGGAGGCGGGG